CTATGTTAGATTGTAGTCTTAATTGAACTTATAAGAAATGTATATTCCTCTTTCTTGATAGATAATATATGATTGACTGGTTCTTATATTTTACGTCATTTAATTTCAGTAAGAAAATGTGGTAAGTTTTTTTTATAATGTGATGAATACAATAAGAAATGTTTAATTAGGGAAGTGGATAGGTAGGGCTTTCATACTTTGGGAGCTTTAGGCCTCTCTCAATTGGTAACGATGTTTATTTTATTGTAAGAAATAATTCTAAAATCAGAGGTTTGAAACTAAACAAGAATGACTTCAGTTAATGGTAGAAGCGAATAATTTCTTTAGTATAAGAAACCGCACTAATTCTAATATCTTCGATACTAATGTCACGATGTCTGTATTATCGTAAAAAAAAGCATCAATCTTAAAAAAGCGATAAGGTAGGTAGGTATCTATATTATAAATTAGCTACACGGCATACCTCGTATCTTTACCTCTAATTAAGAAGATACTATTCGTAAAATTAAGAATTGAGAGGCTGTTTCTCAGTACAAGTACCTAGAAAAGATAATTTAGATGAAAATAAAAATCACGAGGGATACATTTCAACCTTATCTTTTATCTTGTAACAAACATAAAATAAGTTAATTTTAGTACTATTCGTATTTAATATTATCATTGAATAAGTCATATGACAGATCATATTAATGTCGAAAAATATTTAATTTCCAAAGTTTTCGTGAAAAATCAACTTTTAAATACGTCCGCACCCCTCTTTTCCGAGTAAAAACGTCCAATGAAAGTCGAAATAACAGCGGAAGGGGCCGCGCCCACTGCAATGCATCACGCATGCGTCCACTGCAATAACACTATCGACATCTACTTTACTCTTTCACTCCGATACAAAATGCATCCGTGCGAGCGGGATGTCCGAGGCATTTTCCGTTACATGCAAATTTTTATTCAATTGCAAATTAAGTGTTGAATTAAGTAATTATGTATTATTATGTGGAATCGCGAGTGTTTTGTATAATGGGCTCGAGCGATATGTGTTAAAAATATATTATGAAAATGAATTGGATGGCCATTAGAGTAATCTTCAGTAATTTTAAATTGTTGCGCAATTAGCCAGGAATTTAAAAGAGTCTTACCATCGATATTTCGGTTTTATTTAAAGCAAATTATTTTTATAGGGAATCCTTTATTATATATTTTTTTATAAATGGACAAATGAATAGTTAAATATATGTACATAAGTATGTAAGTAAAATTTACCTTATTTTTTATTTTACCTCGTTTGGTGAATAGTGGACCTCAATATTACAATTATAGATTAATGTGTATGTGTAGTAAGTAATTACCAATCCTAATCAGAAAATTTTACTCTTATAAAATACATTACACAAGTTAATCTAGTGGAGTTTAAACGAGTCCCATTCCCAATAGGTATACTTCCAAATACGATTACTTCAGAGATGTTCCAATAAGAAAACGAAATTTAAGAAACAAAATTGATCACCTGTTAGAATTCAGAGGGATATAAAGAGCCACAACTAACTCGTAATTAAATACCAATAAACGATTTTTAAATCAACAACTATCTATCTCCTTCTAGTTGTTATGGTTAGTAGAGGACGGCTATAGTCACCCCAGGTCATAAATTACCAGTTGGACGCAAGAATTATTCCAGCATGTGTGTGGATTGTCGCTATGTTGGTAGTATTCAGCTGTAATAAATTTAAAGCCCACGGGATAGTGTCTTTACTCTTTTGGGACTCTACAATAAGGTCATGTTATTGGTAGGGTCTTTCATTTTCCCAAGATTCTTAATGACACTCAGTGGGTATATATTTAAAATCTTTATTTGTTTGTTTATTTGTAGGTTGATTTAAAAAAACGGGCTACCGTGATTATTCGAAACAGTTTTTAACTTAATCGGAAAACTGAGACAATGATGATAATAATAAGAGATAAGCTTAGCCAAACGCTTACCTACTGCTTGGAACGACCTTATAAGACTAATGTGTAACAACTGTCGCCTTCTCTGAAAGCCAAAAAAAAATACTGAAATGTTACCCAAGTATACGTACTGAATAGAGCTTTTACTGAATTTGCAATTTTTTAACTTGGTTTGTTGTCTGAAATATATTGATATAGCTTAGAATATACCTTCCATGAATTTAACCAAATTCTTGTCTGTTTTCCTTGTTTGTCACAAGTAAGATATTCTACTTATTTTAACAGTTTTGTATCTTGACGAGTCTATTGCATGAAATGATTTATAAGGTTGGATTTCCTATAAAATAATTGTAAGTAACACTAATCGTTATAAACATGTACACAAATATAAATATGGTGGTGAAATTTGACACCTGGAAAACCAAATAATCTATTTCCGATCAGAACAGCTCTAAACTTCTTCTACTTAATGTCTGTCTTAGTCAATCAGTATATGATGTCTGACGGGATTTTGTTTCTTTTCGCGCGCTCAAAGTTAATCCCGTAGAAAAGAAAACGCTTCCAAACACAGAAGACCGTCTGCTTAAGAAGTGCGAATATTTATCACTCATTATTTTACATAAAACACTTTAACGGTTTAAAAACGATATATATTAGTTAAAATCATTTGAGAATTATTTTAATTATTTTAATCTCTGAAAGCCAAAAAAAAATACTGAAATGTTACCCAAGTATACGTACTGAATAGAGCTTTTACTGAATTTGCAATTTTTTAACTTGGTTTGTTGTCTGAAATATATTGATATAGCTTAGAATATACCTTCCATGAATTTAACCAAATTCTTGTCTGTTTTCCTTGTTTGTCACAAGTAAGATATTCTACTTATTTTAACAGTTTTGTATCTTGACGAGTCTATTGCATGAAATGATTTATAAGGTTGGATTTCCTATAAAATAATTGTAAGTAACACTAATCGTTATAAACATGTACACAAATATAAATATGGTGGTGAAATTTGACACCTGGAAAACCAAATAATCTATTTCCGATCAGAACAGCTCTAAACTTCTTCTACTTAATGTCTGTCTTAGTCAATCAGTATATGATGTCTGACGGGATTTTGTTTCTTTTCGCGCGCTCAAAGTTAATCCCGTAGAAAAGAAAACGCTTCCAAACACAGAAGACCGTCTGCTTAAGAAGTGCGAATATTTATCACTCATTATTTTACATAAAACACTTTAACGGTTTAAAAAGCGATATATATTAGTTAAAATCATTTGAGAATTATTTTAATTACGTACAGCCCGACGTGTGGAATGCTTTGCAGTGTCCCTGTAACCACGCCTGCTGCAAAGCGTCCAAAACGTCGGGCCGTAGTCAAAATAAGTTTAACTAATTGTTTTATTGTTTGTACTACTTACTACTAATATTTCTTCATTCTTGTAACATTGTAAGCCGCAAAGGAAACCGCGGCATGCAAAAATCTCACTATAATCTATGCGATTTTTAAAACTGTCATAGGGTGCATAAAAATAGACGTTCCAGTTAATTACGAGGCATGTCGGGCAATTTTTATTCCTCAGTAAGACTTGTCATGTCAGAACTGACGTATGGTGTATGTCCGCTCTTTTTGACGTGTACAAAGAGTACTGGAATTGTATTTTATAACTATGTCATTTTGCTGCGTCGAAGTATTTTTAATTGCCCTTGTGTGATGAAAGACTTCTTAAATACCGACTTTTTTTATGACAGATCATTTACCCCATCCATAAAACTTCTAATTAAAATAGACGACAGTATTTTACTTTGGGAATTCGTAAATCAATCAACAGTGATACGAAGACTTAATAATTCGCAGTTTATCTATGCAAAATTCATTTATTATATTTCTGTATAGGCAAGTACAATTTCGTTAACATTAATGCGATCGATGATTATTTTCTTACACAGTAGGTTCCGTAAACATCAGTTTTTTCTAACCGAGCTTGAGTGGAAAGTTAAATCAATCTAGCTATCTTTAAAAAGCAATGCTAGTTTTAGAGACTAATATAGACGTAAGGAACACTTATGCTTTCCTTTTTACTGTTTTAGTAGTGTCAGAAAACCCTATAATAGTCAATATTGGAAATCACAAAATTAAAATTTACATATTCGTAAATAAGCTAAGCTAGCTAAGCTAAAAGCTAGGTACCTACCAACTATGACGAGTAAGAATTTAGTTAAATGATAAGTACTAATAAACAAAACCAAATTGAAATGATAAAAACATCGCCTTAAAGTTATCATTAGGTTAAACAATAATAACAGTGAAGCGTAAACGCGAAGTTGGATGAAAGAGGTCTAATATCGGATATTAGTGAACGCATCGATTAGCATAAATCGGAATCGAAAGAGGTTTATAATCAATAATCGTTCGGTTCATTGAATAGCAATAAAGTTTAAAAATCGATTATTGATATACCTAGGTATTATAGAGCAACAGCACGGAACTCTGTGGATACCGGTTGAAGTCCTGCCAGAGTCGTACATTTCTTCAACAATCGATTTTTAACAGATATAGTGCGATTATATGCAATAACTTGGAAAAATATTCAAGTTTACATTCGACATTTTAGACTTAAATACATTATTTATTAGTTAGTTATGATTACACCAAACATGGTATACCTAAGACTCGGTCTTGGACTGTATATAGAATACCATAGGTATAAACATGTTATTTGCATGTTTATATGGCAATAAATTATGCGCTATATACGCTACCTATATTATTCTCGTTATTCTATTTAGCTGTATTAGATTTCCTCCTATCCTCAATAAACACTGAATGCTTATACAAGTAAACTAAATGTGTTAGTTTAAATAATGAGAAATTGCTGTTTTTAGTAATAAAGCTAGGAAAACAGATCCCAAATATGCATTAAAAATTTTATTCTTTAATTTCCTACCTACGCGTCTTATATTATTGAATAAGGAGTTCTTTTTATTTGCGTTCTTAAGTGTATTTAGTTACCTAAATACATGAATATTTGATTTACTAAAGGAAGCCTAATTACGTATGCGAGCGATTAGCGGAGCGGGAGCGGCGGCGGGTGCAGCGGCGAGCACACGTGGTATAACCTCAGGTGCGCCCCGCCCCCCGCTCGCCCCGCCCGTTTCTAGCCGTCAGCTCGAACGGGCAACTCACTCAGACGCGAGCTGCACTCGACGCTCGAACGGCGGGAAAACACCGGCAGTTTTCCGTTCCACGCACCGAACTTCCGCACGATTCGAATTCGAATTTCGAACGCGAGTTTCGAGTTTGTGAAAGTGTTACGTGGATGTTTGTGTACTTTCAGTGTGTTTGTTTGTTCTAAGGTTTATTGTGAGTATCTTTATTTTCGGAACTTAACGTATGTTCTTATTAGTGGCAGATTTATGGCTGTAGTTAAAAATCGTGGATATACTAACAGTTTTAGTCCATGTTTTTGTGTTAAAGAGATTTTTAAGTTTGTGAGGGCTTTTTTTAATGAAAGAGTAGATAAGTAGAAAAGACAAAGAAATAAGAAAAATCATCTTTCAAAATTTCTTATCAGCTTCAGTAAGGTAGTCTATGCCAATTAAACTTTTATACAATACGATTAGATTATCATATAGAAAATACAAATATTAAGGCTATGAAATACGGTTCACACAGCACTATAAGGATATTCCTGCTTTAAGAAAATATTGAAAAGAAGTTGTAGTGTTGTAAGAGATACAGTCACAATATAAATATTACTACTTAATAATTTCAATAAAAAATTAATTTATTATAAATTGAGTACCTAAATACAACCATACTTCAGGTACTTTACCAAAGAGTAGTTTGAATTAACAAATTTCATGATTATTTTTCCTACAGAGTAGGAAACATTGAAATAATTAATAGCATAGACACTGGTTTTAGTCTTTATAAGTTATAAAAAATATATTTTAAACCTCTCTAATCTATACTTTTATGTGAAGGAATATTGTATTGTGTACATATTTAGCAATAATTCCACCTGTTCTTTGTGTTCTATGTTTTTGAAATTTTTGTGCAGTTTTTAAATTCGTTGACTTATTTTGTAATGTCACATTATAAACATACTTTTGTAGAGCCATACTACATTTCCAGTTTCGATTGTTAGATTTTCCAAAATTAAATTTTGATAAATTCAACGCGTTCAAAGGGATTCTTTGGGATAAAATAAAACGAAAAGCAATGAAATCGTTCGGCCCATTTAACGTGTACCGGACGGGAGTGACAAAAATCTCACTGAAATAAACTTAACACATGTCGACTGAACGTCACACGCCCGTAACAACGGGATTAGGAATTAAATGCAATTATTTGGTTGTTAGGAAGCTTCTGCGTTTCGTGGGAATATATAAAAAGTTGACAATCGCTACTTTGCTACTCATCTTTAAGGAGGAGATATATTCTGATAATGCCATCCGTGATGGCGTAACTTCGAGAGCCATAAACTAAATAAAAAAAAAATAAGTTTATTGTCTCTCTCTTAATAATTAAATTACAAATAGTATTGAGGCTGTTGCAGAAAGTTTTTTACTAACTTGTGTTGGAACAGCCTCGCTCCTTCCTATAACCATAGCAAAATTTCTAATTAATAGATATCATTTGCAATTACTTTATTATTTAATTGTAAAGTTATTTGAATTTCTCATCCAAACGAATGACTTTAAGCATGTGAATAAAATTTGGTAGAGTAAAGCATAGAATAAATCCGAATGTGTATGTAGTGTAATACGGGAAGTGAAAGATATCTTTTGGAATATCCGGACGCGTTATTATATTTAAATTATATTGTTTTGATTCTTACTCTACGTATTATATCTAAACGGAGAAAATAAGAAACTCATGTGCGTTTATTAATATGTAAGTATATGAAATTGAGGCTCTTTTATTTGAAAATGTGGTTTAGGCAATAAATTGTTATTGACGTGTATGAGAAATGTGTAAGATATCTTTATATTTCTACTACTATTTTTCTTTTGAATTAATAAGCATTTTATATTGATACAAAGACGTGATTATGGAAACTGATTTGTATTTTCTTGATAACGTACAAATTTAATCAGCTAAAGCTTTTGTTTAGGATTTCATCCTTACAGTGATCCCGAGGATATTACCTATTCAAATAACGACATAGTTTAATGTATTTATTATATATAATAATGATGAGGCGAATAAACAATAGCTAATTATTATTAAGACAATTCGAAGAGATAAGTATATTTTTAATGATAAGTATAATTCCAAGTTAAATTTTAAAATTAACAACGCGCTGATTATAATGACTTTATTTCTTGTTACAATTCAAAATAGCCGTTAGTAGGAACTATTAATAAGAATTAGGTATAGAGGTATAGAGATTAAATTTAGTGGATAATGTTTCATATTTTTCCTTATATACGCAGATCGTTCGTTCGTATTATCGTGATGTTCAAAGACATAAGTACATATTATATAGTAACAGATTAGCTATATGGTATAACGTCTCCAAATGATTAATACGCCACAGCGATTTCCTGTTCTTTGTTCAAATAAACGGCCATCAGCCGCGTATTAAAATTCGAAATTTTCGGATTTTAAAATTCGTCGCGCACGCAATAAATAAGATACGTATAAAATTACGCGACGTACGTAGAGAGTGAGAACATTTATCATTCGTTACGCGACAAATAAATCGGGTACACAATGAGTACTAATTTGCTCATAAAGATGTATGCACCGGCGGAGTTCATAAATCGGGTGAAGCCACATTCTACCGCTGTCATAAACCTCGGCGGACACTTTTATAGCCCTACCACGTGGCGGGGACATTTTTTCCGCACTTGACTTAACATGTGTACCACACTTAGAATATCCCATGTAAATTTATTGTTTCTTAATAGACCCCCTGTGTTACGCATATTCTTTGAACTGGGCGAGATTTTACCGCTTCTTAAGCGCAGAGTTACAGGTTAGAGAAATAGATATTTTCCGATTTTCCATTTAATATACCTGCTACTAGATACATTTGATAATATATTATGTAAATTATTTATAAAGAAACAGTTACATGCGACGCTACACAGTAAGCTGGCTACTAAACTAATTAAACTAAAATTAATGAGAAATACATAAAAATAGGAGAGTTATGTGAAAATAAACAGTTACCACCTTAAAACTTTGTTACTAAATACGGAAGTGTAAAATAAAGGTGCTTAATAGAAAATATTACAATATCACACATTAAAAGCTGAAACGAAAATGAGGGTACAATTATTCATATATATTCAACATTTAAGGCTCTTAAATTGCATTACTTGATTTAATATTATTCGCTATAAACAACCTAGTTAATTGTTTTTAAACGATCGTAGTAGCAATGATCATCCGTCACAAATAACAAGGCGTCGCTTTTGACCAGCTAATGTGTTTCATTTTATCACAGGTCCATCAATCAAGCTCCAAGAGGACAATTGAACTGGACCGCAGACATCTTCAGCACTTAACATGTCCAACTAGACTATTCAGTAGCCATCAAAGCATGACAGTCTACGAGTAACCTTCATACGACAGAGGCACAATAATCTGTTATCGATGAACGACTTAAATTATAACGCAGGAATGAGTTCCTATCAATTCGTCAATTCCCTGGCCTCGTGTTATGGGAACCAGGCCCCCGGACGCACGGGCACGCCCGTCGAGCAGACCGGCCACCCAGGGTTGCCCACACCTGGAGCTGATTACTACAACCCAAACGCAGCGGCCTCAGCTTACCCAAATGCGTGTTATTCGCCGCCGCAGGTTGGCCATCATTACCCTCAGCATCCATACGCTGCGCCCGCCACAGGGTCCCACATGCAGCCCCAATCGATGATAGACTACACACAGTTACACCCCCAGAGATTGGGTAGCACAGCGAGTCATATGCACCAACATTCAAACCCGAGCCCTGGAGCGTTATCCCCAAATTTACTGTCAGCAGCGGCGAATCAAGCTGCGAGTGCTAGTTGTAAGTTTGCTGATTCCACGTCAACGACCGGAGTAGCGTCTCCGCAAGACTTATCCACGTCATCAGGACCAGGACGGACTTCCCCCGGCTTCGGCGTTTCGAACACTGGCAGCACTAAGCTCGGATTGACCACCCCGATAGCGTCACCAGTGGAGCACAAGGCCAACGTGAACCAGAACATCTCGAGTCCTGCGTCAAGCACCTCGAGCAACGATAGCAACGAGCCCAATCCGAACTCCAGTTCAAGTAACACGAAGACCGCGAAGTCATCGGGCAGTTCTCAAGCGAATCCACCTCAAATCTACCCTTGGATGAAGAGAGTTCATCTAGGCCAAAGTAAGTGCTTTTTTACAATTAATCAAATAAGGATCTTATTAATTAACGTTTCACACTCTTTATCGGTCGCGTACAATCGTGCAGGTTGCAGTGTCACGCCTATATAAGCGAATGATTAAAATGGGAACTATTCATCAATCGAATGTTAGGTGGAGACAGTATAAATTATATATCTGTTTAAAAAAGCATTAGCATGCGTTAATGTTGGATCGATACAGCGGCGGCGGGCTGATGAATGATGACCATAATATGGCATAATAGTTTGCTCGTCGGACGCTTATAACCCAATCTTTTTCTTCTAAGGCGATGGCCTATAAACACCGTAGATCACACACACACTTTTTAACTCTAAATACTTAATATAAAATATGTTGTACGTTTTGTGCAAGTCTCTAATTATTTTTTAAATAATTTTTACGTAGCTTTCCAGCCAGCTGTATTATTTTCTTCTTATTGTCATTAAGTTAAAGTTAGAATTAAAATTATTTCAATTAAAGACAATAAATTTAAAATGTATATTTGAAATTCTTTAACCCTGGCAGTCGACATTAAAAATTGATAAAAATATATTTTTCTCGACGGTAAAAAAAATTAAAAAAACATACCGTGAACACAGCCGGCCTGTCACACATCGTAGATATCCCGAGATAAGACAGCGCACATGTTGCTCTCAATTCCTTGAATCTTGCTATTGTTTTACTGTCCTTGTCAGGGTCCACTAGTGTCGCTGGATGTCAGAATAGGTGTCACGAGTGTCGGCAGTAATTGGTCCGATCGCGAACATGACTTCGCTAGGAGTGACATAGTTTTCGTGCATTCTAATTGAGACGATGAGACACGGTTTAATTTAAAATTGGGTTAAGTATGTAATATTATACGATCTCAACGTATAATGACTATAAACAGATCGTGGGTTTGATTATCGTTCCCACATAAATACTAAATTACTTCTGGAACACGTTAGATCTTGTCTGGGAAGTGTGTGTTGTAAATGGGTGGTACGAATAACACTATCTCCAGTTAAAAAGCAATGTAGTTAAAATCAACATCATTTTAGTCTGTCGATTTTCCCATGTCCCCATAATTCAAAACAAATCAACAGCGCATTTTATTTAGATGTTATTTTAATAAGACCTAATTACCTTTGTATTGTATGGTTCGGATAACATTCAACCCAAAGCTTGCCTCTCCTTATTTATCGTAGGTAACAAAGTTATACCTTACACCTAAGATTCTAAGAGCGTATGAATTATAAGGAATCTTACTTTAAGATAAAATTTGTGTGTGTGTGAAATCCCGTTTCCCCCTATTGGGGCATGGGGCGAACACATTTTTTGTGTTCGTTTCACAGATCCATTCTTTAACAGGCAAGTAGTTGCTCAGACTTCTGTGCCCTGCCCGACCGAAACAATTTTTTGTTTCCCTGGGATTCGAATCCAGGACCTCTCGCGCTTTACGCAATGCTAGGCAATGCGTTTAACCATTTGGCTACAGAGACGGTAAGATAAAATTTACTTACTTTATTTATAACATAAGGGAATAATACGACAAACCTTTATGGAACTCTTACAACTTGACAAAACCTTTTTTAGACTAGTATTATGGGTATAAAAGCCATAGTTAGATACTTTATTTAGTGCGTAGTTAAGTTTAATTAAAAATGTAACATACATTTTTTGGGACCCAAGACACGCCGTGGTCACGGTCTCCCCGTGACCACGGCTGCTGCAACTGCACTCGCGTAAACTATAGACAGTATCTAATTAACTCTTAGTTCTTGATTATTAAATTATCTATTACTATTATATACGACAATATAATAATGAGATACACAAGGTAATGGACTAAAAGCTACGTCCAAATATAAAAAGAGCTTCAGATTCTTTCATGTTTTGCAACAATTACTCAAGTGAAATTAGACACGGCTATGCGTGCGAAGCAACTTCTTAGTACCAATATTATGAGTGTATTTTGCGATTCGTTGCACACCATTTATGAATAAAGTTTTATCGCTAATTATGTTGGGAGTATTATAACTAGGTATATATTCAATATACATAGTGCCTCCGTGACCACGGCTGTTGGAACGTAGGGCGGTAGTTACAACAAATTGTAAATTACGGTAACTAATATGTTTCGCGTTTTATGCCGTTAAAAATATTTTATTCAAATATATAGATATTTCGATTATAGTCATATATCGGTCTTAAAACTAAAACTCGTCTTATGTCAATTATTTATAAAATTCGCATAATGCGCGTGATGTTAGTTATCCCCAGCAAGGTCGTTGCATCTGAAACGAATTTAAAAATACTTTAATTTTATTCAACAAAAGTTATTGTATTTATATGATGTCATTAAAAATCTTCGTGTTCGCCGCTGGTTCTCGTTAAACGTGTAATATCGTGTTTAGAACCAATAGTCCTGGATTCGAATCTCATAGCAACAATAAATAATATTGTTTAAGTCGGGCAAAGCAAAGAAATTCGATCAATGAAACGGGACTAGCAATTCCTTCGCTTTATTCTTTTATTATAAATTTCGTAAACTAACTGCAATTTGGTATATTCTAGGCAATTTTTACATAATTATTCAAATCACAAAATTTGTCTCATATTTTATAAATTTAATTTATTTTATAGTTATTATCTCTATTCACATTTTGAAATAAGACTGAAAAGTAATTAAATATATGTTTTAATTTTAAACATATTTATTTCAAACATGCACTGAACTAATGTAATACACTCTATTATTAAAATAAAGCTTTTACTCTTTTAAATATTAAGTAACTATCAAAATCCATAATCAATTATTCAAATATCTGTTTAAAACCCTCCCACGAAGGTGGCCGTAATTTATTGGCGTTTCATAAATAAATCAAAGCCTCAAGTGTGAATTATGACTGAAATAATGTTATGCTAAAGGTATACTACGTTTTCAAAATGCATTCGTTACACCTCTGTTTTATTAACCTACAGCGAGAGGAAAAGGAAGGGTTATGATTTGTCAGTGCATGTATTTCAGCGCTTGGAATACTAAGTCGATTTTATTATATGAGAAGTTAAATTAGTTTTAGGTATTCGAAACACATATTATAATAGCAATAAGGGGCTTAAAGGATTTAGAATATATATAGTTTAATCTAAAAATAAATATCACTAATATGTTAGTGTGTTTTGTATTTATTTTTTATCAACCATTTGTACTGTTGCATAATATAAACTTTACTAATTTTTATTAGTCTTTAGAAGTATACGGTCACTTCCTTGAAGAAAAACTTAATTGTTGCTTGTGAAAGAACGAAAAAACACTAAAACAGGCTCATATTATCGATTTATTCAGTTTTATTTAATAAAAAAAACAGTCATATTATCCTTGATAATTGTATATTGCTTTAATGGCTTAAACATTTTAGAATGGACCACTATATTTTACGAAACACTAACGAGATAAGTTAACTTGTTAACGAGAATTTTACCAAAATTTATACATACTACATACTATTTGTAAATACACAAATAATTATCAAATAGTATTTACTATTAGTAGCTTCTTGAATATTAAATACTTGTTGTGTGCACTATGTTTGTCTTTAGGTATTGGCCTTATTTATGTTACCTTCATAACATGCAACTAATACAAACTTAGACTTTTGTTAACTTAAAATACGATTTTTTATCTTCGTACCAAATGCATTTCTATACTTACATATACATAAACAAGTTCAATACTACCTACCTTTAAATATCTAAAACAGCTTGCAAACAGACGATTTCACTGGCCATTCAAAGTTTTTTATTCCTTCAGAAGAGCTACTTGATACCGATATGTAATCAATTTCAATTATAAGTAAGCATATACATGAAGAGCACAATAAAAATAATACACGGTTTAGATAATCAAACTAAAAGGGCTTGACCGTCGCATGGTTGGTTGTCCGCGTCGTATTGCAATGGATGATTTTGCACATTTCTCAGAAGACCGACTTATAAAGGATACGTAAATCGAGCTTCAGGGGAGCATTTTATGTCAGCATGACATTGACCTTAAATGCAAATTTTAAGAAGCAATATAAAAATAGAAAGCACGGGTTAAATTGAAAAAAGTCGGAATCGGGCTTGACTTGAACCGGCACTGGGGTCGTCCGCGTGTTTGCAATGCGGATGCTTTTGCACATTTTGCGACCGACTTGTAACGTAGTAAATCCAGGCCTTACGTGAGTTTTTTCAACTTGTTCATAAACTTGCACATCTAGCCCTTTGTAAATTCAACATTTTAACGGACTTGTATCAGTTATTTGCAATATATGTATATTTAACTACGGTCCTATATTTCGTATGCCCCTAATGTCAAAGTCAAATCTAATGCGCCAGCTTACGCCATCTGTTTATATCCATTTTGAACCGTTAAATGTGTATTTTTAAATGTGTACTTCTCGTAAATCAAATATAATAATTGTAATATTTACTTCTATGGTATCATGATACCATATATTATAATTATAAGCATATTTAAATATATATTATAATTATAAGCATTTAATTTTTCTTAATCTCTTGTTCTGTTGAAGAAACCGAAAAATCTAAGGAAAGCTACTTATAATATTCAAATGTTTTTTCTATTTATTTTTATGTATAATTTGTCGTGTTTTTGTAAAATTTGAGATAATTTCAACTTGTAACTAACTCAATAGTTTTTATTTTAAGAGTTAAGTTGAAGTGCTTTATTTGTGCATAGTGCCTCAGTCACACTTTAAACTTACTAAAATAGATATACCTACTATTAGACCATATGAAAAACTATTTTCAAGTCCACTCTTCACCGAAGCGCAATAGATCAGCAATTGATAAACTTTCTCAACGTCCCTTGGGAAAAACAAGTTCAAATATTAATGTCGACTTTAACCTCCGTAAAATATAGCTTGGATATCACATTTCTCATGGTTAAATCTGTATTTAAGGTGCGTGCCCTTTTTAATTTTACCGACTGTGTAAAAG